CACGAAGATGAATATTCAGTATAGCGTGGAGTTTCATGGGTTGGTAAGAGCCAAAAAGACATCCTTCTCACCCTACAGCGCCCTATGTTTCCCTCCCTGTGTACTCACACAGCTGGGCCAGCAGACTGCTGGATGGATGAGGGGGGAGTTGAGTTACATTCCTTCCATCGGGGCTGTGTGTCTGCCAACCAGGTCACTCCCAGTTCAGTCCCGGGAAATTGGGAGGGAAGAATTTCCTCTATGTGTCCATAGTGGACACGGCCGCAACCACACAGAGGCCTGTGTGCACCCGGGGCACGTGTGTGTGTGTGTGTGTGTGTGTGTGTGTGTTTATAGATATGTGTGTGTGCTTATGATTCTTGAAACTGAGCCCCCAGTGTTAATATGACTTGCATGTTGTTTTCTTAGGAGGACACTGTAGGAAAGGTGGAGGTTGTGTGTGGCGTGTAAGTGTGTGTGTACTGTGTCAAGGTGTGTTGGCGTGTGTGTAGTTTAAAGCATGCGCCTGTGTGTGTACGAAAGACAGTGAAACCGCGATGGAGAGATAAGAAAGTTCTTCCTTCCAAAGTTCCGTATCTCCAATATTTTTTCACATTTTACTGGCTCTTGTGCAGATTGAATTGCAATGTGCACAAAGATATCAACTCACAGCCTGATGGGTATTGAATTGAACATACTGGGGGCTGCATTTATCAAACCGGTGACTCTTAATGATCTCTGTCAAGACATGGTTCCATTGTCACTGATGCAACCAAGATAAATTGCCGCACATTTATTGTACTTTGAAAAGAATTCAGTTCCATGTACTGGAGAGCAACGCTTTGACCTCCCTCCCTTGCAGACATCTCTGCATCTCCTGTTCTGTTCACCACTTACACGCGCAGATGACGGATGCTTCCAGAAGATTCCAGGTCCTCTGGCTGCCTCGCCGCAGGCTAATACTAGAAAGACGGAAAGATAAACGTACGGGAACAGAAAAGGGCTGAAGTTCATTTTCCCATTCTGCTGTTGGTTTGTGCTGCGTTACACACTTGTTGTACGGCTCAGTGTGTACGTTGGTGGGGATCAGATGGTGGCATGTTTCCTGTGTGCTCATGTATCATGTGGTGCACTCAAACCAGAGGGGCACGTTTGAAGACAAAACGAGGCGCATTAGCGCCCAAAGTGTGCACTGCTAATGGAAACAGACAGAGCATTGCAAAAACATGCCATTCCTGATTATCGGCACCTGTTGTAAAATGCAGCATGACCGTGAGAACTTTAAATTTTTTCAATTTATTGCCTCTGTGTGCATCTCCATGTAAAACTCAGTGCGGTCAACAATTGGACTGTTCGACCGACTAACTGTGGAACTAATGACAACTCTCAACGTCAAGTGTACTTTGTGTAAACGAGCAAACGTTAGCATGCCAACGCACTGATTGTGGTAAACATACTTTGAAAATGTCGGCATGTTAGAATTCTCATTGCTACCATGTTAGCATGAGTTAGCACATAGCCCAAAGCTTCTCTGTGCCTATGTATAACTTTTTACTCATGTTCACACATTTACTGGGTTGTCTTGAAATACCTGCCTGTCAGTTATGAACCAGTCAGCAAAAGAACAATACACAGCTGGAGAAAATATTTCTGAATTAAATGCAACAATGAGTTTGTGGTTTTTGCTAAAGTACGTTTGTTGTAAGTACATCATGACCTTAAGGCCAATAATTTACACTGGAAACACACGGAGGCACCTTTTTTAAGGAACTTTGGATCAAAGTCATCAGCTGGCTTTTTGTATAAAAAGTTCACATTAATTCCAGGTACATTTAAGGATAGATATAAGAAGGGTAAACAAACACTTTGTAAATGGGCAGTTACAGTGCAATATATTATGCTTGACATGTTAGCTAAACCTGCATTTAGTGATTCTTTTTGCCACTTTGGGGCAGTGGAAACAAGCCGTGAATTCAACAATGACGTACTTTTTACAACATGTCATACTTGTTAGCCAACAGTTGCTTCTTTCCACATCCAGCAGATTCAGAGCGATATAGTTTTTTTAAAGACGTGTTTCCGATCACCTGTTGCATTGAAGACCAGTATTCACTGGACTTTTAACTCTGTTTTTGGTCTCCACCAGCTCCTAAGGGAAATATTAGCTGCTAAACGCTCCTCTATGTTCACAAGCTAGTCGCTAACTTTTCCTGTCTGTTGTTTATTGCTGAGCAGGTTCTGTACAAAGGGTTTATCAATGTTTTTTTGCTGAATACAGTTCTGCATCTAGAAACATGGCTGGTGAGAGCGGATCAAACGGTAACAAAAGGAGCTGAAACGTTACATTGGGCTGAGGACAAATGTAGAGTCAAGGAATAATTATATGTGAGTTTGTCTCCCCCAGTGACCCATTTCACATACATGTAGTCATGTGACCCAGTGCTGATATATGATATTTTGATTATAGCAACTTTAAAGCAAGACATCATTTCCAGGTAAATCTTGAGACAGGAGAGTCTTAGTTCTGCTTTACAGCACAAAGAAGAATCACTTTATGGCACTAAAAATAAAGGTATTCTACTCAGCCACCGATTCAAATTTGACCGCAGTTGCACAACGCTGATGACAAATGTTCCTTTTGTGCCTTCAATCAGATTCGTGTGGACCCACATCTGGGGAGACGAGGACTGTCTCAAACGTCCTGTTTGAGACAGGAAGTCTGGGGTTTTCTACGAAATGTGGTCTAGATTTTGAGACGTCAAAATTCTATACACTTAACCAACCTCCCAGTGAGGTGAGGTAACTTCACTTGTTTCACTCAATGCTGACAATGAATAAGAAGATAACACGCTTGCTGTTTATGGTATAGGGAGACCAACAGAAGTGGAAGTAACGACGGAAAAGGCAGACATCGTTCTGTGTGCTTTAATAAGGGTTTGTGAGTGTGACACATGTGAGCGGAATATGGGATACATAGAGGACTTATACAGACACACACCCCCACACACCCACACACACACAGATTTAATCCCAAGGACAATTTCTCAATTGAACCTCAATATTCATAGTGTAAAAGGCGCTCCTGCAGCTCCTCCAGCGGGTCATTCAATCGCTGCACTTTGTCTATTACACTTTCCTGGCAAAGGATCCTGGGTACAGTCCACTGTATCAGCGTGACACAGTCTCCAGTCTGCCCCTGAACTCCTGATTTACTGGTTCTTGGAAGTCAAATGTGTCGCTCGGGCTCAAATGGCTCATGACATGACTGACATGTCGCACAAGAAGGAGAGGCGCTCCTAATAAAAACACACTTGTGTCAGAAATGAGATCAAATTAGACATCTGATCTGGTAACATGGCCTCCTCGCATTTGAGTTTTCAAGTGCACATTAGGGCCACTCTATGGATATAAATATAGGCTATATAAACACACACGCAAACAAATAGCATTGTTCAACAAATATAGTCCGTGATGGATTACTGTCTTGTTTGAGCCCTGATAAAAAGCCAGCTGCTGCCCTCCGACCACGTGGGCCGCCTCTGCTGTCCTGTCATGACTCGGTGCTGAGTGGGACATTAGCGGGTCTCTTCCCCAGCAGCCAGCGCCGTGCGAGAGAGGGCCATTCCTGTCTGCATTGGCTCTGGACTGAGTTTAGCATCATGGGAACCGTCAATAGCAGCCGGGGTCCCGACAGGTCACGCAGGAGTTCAGCTGAGTTAATCCGGCTGACAGGGTGCCCTGTCAGTCAGGGATGCAGGGGCTGTCCTGAGAGGGGGGTTGTGTTTGTGGAAGACCGGGGAGTGTACTCAGCTGGGTGGTCTCCACACCCCACACCCCACCCCACCCACTCCCAGTGTCAAAATATAGACTGGACGAGGATTCTGCCTTTTGCATGTGTGCAAGGATTTGCCAGTCAGTTTTCAGTTTCCTGGAATGCAACCTGATATAACGGAGCCACCTGGTGGTCACAGAGGCATTAGCATCTCACCAGAAACAATCTATGTATTCAACAAACAATAAGACGTCAACTTATGCGCTCCAATGCATAGAACAATTTTCAATTGGTTATCATTTTCTGTAAGAAGCATGCAAAGACCGCCTCACCTGGATGACCTGAATTAAAACGCAGGGGCAGTTGAAACTCTTTGAGATCTATGTTGGTGAACGTAACATACAAACTCTCAAACATACACTTCTACACTCAATGCAAATGGACACATATAGACCTTGTTGTGAGCAGTTTCATGGAGGAGCAATGGTTGAAAGAAAAATGAGTTCCTACATGAAACTGCTCACAACGAGGTCTGTGAGTAGCCGGGTCCTGATTTCTGGAAAAAAGTCTTTGCTGTAGAGTTTCTTTCAAATGTATTTTTTCTTTTGGCGCTTTGAGCATCACAAACCGTATGACATATAGTCCCGTTATACTGGAGAGAAGGCAATACCTCCAAAACTAGGCAACTCACACCGAAACAATCCAGAATGAGAAACAGGCCAGAGACTGTGGGGTGAGCTGTCCCTTTAAAGTTCATCTCTCAGGTTAAGTGGTAATACCACAATGCAAAAGAAAAACCTGCACTCAAGAAAAAGTACGACCAAATGTACTTTAAGTAGGAAAAAGTACTCAATATGCAGCCGAATGGTCCCTCTTAACTGTTGTATTAGTATTTATTTGGTTGGTTAATTAATTATTACCAAGGCATTGATTGGCAGTGTATACACATATGAATTCACAGGCTTTGTGTTTTGGCCTACATCTTGTGTTTCTTTCAGGCTGAATTTAAAACCAGGGATAAATGCAATTTGTTTTATATGGAAAACGGATCAAAACAAAGCTCCCTTTGTAGAGATGTTGAACAATCTTTCAGGGAGAAATATCAATGTTTCATAAACTTGTCCAGACGTGATGTATTTCTATAACTATACCACCAGCATGGGTTTTCTCAAAAAGGCATTCTGCAGAGGGAGTCTCAGCAAGCAGCCCACTGTAAAGGTTTGTAAAGGTGCAGGCGAAGGTAAACCGAGGTGGGTGGGACATGGGCCCGGCATGTGGCTTCATGGGGAGTTGTGTCTGTGCGGGGGCTCAGACGGTGGGAGTAGAGCTGCAGTGATGGCCCAGGTAAAGGTAGCAGGAGACGCAGTGAGGAGCCACCAGGACTGTGCCGAGGTTTACTCTGACATGGCTACTGTCAGCTCCAGTGCAGGTGAGTTCATGTCCCAAAAGAAGAATACTAGTTTGTTTAATATTATGATGGTGTTTCCTCGACAACACGGCAACCTGCAGCAAAAGGTCTCTCTCTTGCCAAGTTTTCAGCAATATTTCATCATTTAATTATTAAAGTTGCTTTAATGCAGTGTCTCCTATACAGTTATAGTGTTGCATGCTAGTCTAAAAGCTATTTATGATGTGTTTGTTTTGATGGTTTAAGATCAAAATTGTTAAATTGAACTAATATCTGCTAATATCAGCATACAACGTTGTCTGGTGGCTGCTTTAGAATGAAACTTTTAGCACCTTACTTCCTATTGGTCTGATCCTAATAGTGTATTAATTGCCATGTAGCAATTTAAAGTGTTTACCTTTATAACAGTAATCAAAGGATGAGTATTAAACTGTGAATATGTAACCAGGTTTGGTAAAAATAGTTAAGAGAGTAGGAACCTTTGTGAGCGAGACTACACCTTTAATACCCATCATCAAATCAGCCTCCTCTGTCTCGTCTCTAACCGCCGTGATGTGAACGGACGAGGTCAACTCCAATTTGTCAGATTAGTCACTTTGTGGTAATAATCTCGGTCAAATCCCCCAGTTTCTGGTATCTTTTTCTCACGAGTTTTGTCTTTGGCAGCTAAAGCTCCATGGCTCTCGGGTTGCTTGGTGGCAGTGGGAACCATGAAGTCAGTGTAATCCCTCTTTTTTTGAGACACTCATTTGGTTAAACGAACTCTCACGAGTGTTTTTAGGCCACTTTTCCCCCATTTTTTTTCTTTGATGCCAAGAACTCGGGAAACAGGAGCCAGAGAATTGTCCTCCAAAAATTCTTTTCAGAGGCCATGCCGCAAAGCCCCAAAAACTCTTATTCTTCCTCCTGAAAACAGATATAGGAGGGTCGGCGAGGAAGGTGTACGAGACCTCCATGGGCGTCGGCCTCGGCAGGCGGAGCCGGGCCTACCCGTCGCCGGCCAGGAGACGACACCGCACCACCTTCAGCCACAAGCAGCTGGAGCAGCTGGAGGTGGCCTTTGGACAAAACCCGTATCCTGACATCTACTACAGAGAGGAGCTGGCTCGCATCACCAAGCTCAACGAGGCCCGCATTCAGGTGGGACGGCCTTCAGACTAAGATCTCCCAAAAGTCACGAGGTCACGCTGATACTCAGAGGGAAGGATGCCAAAACCAGTCACTTCATTTAAACGTCTATTAGTAGATCTGTGATTTCAGCTTCGCAGAAAGCTTTACAAGTTTTTATCATTTATTACCTGTAATTCCCCTTATAAACAACAAGATCCAAACAATTCACTGGTTCCAGCTTCTTAAAGGTGAAGGTTTGACTTTGTATTTTAATTACCGCACATTGTCCTTCACTTTGTCCCTGTTGTAAACTTTTAAATTAAATGTACAATACTGCAGAAATGCTGCATTAAACATACTTGTAAAGTTGTCCCACTTTACTTGAAAGCACTGTTCTGCATTTTATTTTGAAATGTGAGCAGAGACAATGTGGCAACGTCTGCAATATTTAGGCAATTATTATTTTACTTTTAAATCACATCTCAGGTAAATAATGAGGAGGTTCCCCTTCCCTGAACACATGGTGTGGTAGTGTCAGTGGTATCGGATGTGTTGTTTTGCTTCAATGTCGAAACAAGTCAAGGATTTAAATGTCCCTCTTTTGCTGAACCCACCCAACAGAATGCTTTATACCTTGTCCCTAACCTGTCCTCGTCTCTAACCTGTCCACGTCTCTAACCTGTCCTC